CATGGATGCGAGGAAGTGGACGCCACGTAGGGCACTGTAATAGTGATACGTAGGTAAAAGGTTAACTGGTTACCTGGTAAGTATTAGGCTTAGTGGCACGCTCACCCGGTAACCGGTGAACCAGACTTGGCCAAAACCCAGCAGACAGCCCACCCGCCAGGACCACCCATCCAGCCATACTGGGCCAGCCCCCGGCCACAGCTGGCAGGCAGGATCCCTGCCCCACAGGGGCAGTTGAACTGCAACCCTGGCAGAACCCCAGGGGCTCTGCATCAGTGCTCCAGCATTAACCAGTGGAATTTTCATCATTTAACTAGTTACCCATTCAAATAGTTATTTACACCCCTCCCTGGTGCTCTACCATCACCAAGCTGGCTGGAGTCCAACCGGCTGCCTGGAGGCAAGAAGCAGTTTAATAAGCTTTCCCTGCTGAGGCTACTTTGCTCCCTCCTCTAGAGAGAGGTTCCTGACCCCCCGCGTCCCAACAAAAGGAAACACCGCAGCCAGCTGATACAGAAATCTTTATTCTTTTCAAATAAAGACAGGCTGGGGCGACCTATTGGCCCTGGTCTGTGAGCCTCGCAGCTCAGAGCACAGTGTCACTGATAAAAACAGGCCTCGCACAAGGTTAATACACCTCCCTGCTACAGGCAGGACTTGGCACAGAACAGGAGCCAGGAGCCTAGTGGGCACGGTGTGAACACGGATGACAGCGAGAGTCAGTGATTGGTCAACCCCCGGCTCCTTTCGAGCAAAGCTGAATGGGGATTGGCTGCTCGTGGTTGCGGCTGAGCTGTACTCCAGCCCTCCTTTCCACCCACGCCAGAGACACCAGCAGCACTGCCGGCCAGCTGCACTCCCAAGGAGTGACCGTTGCTCTAGCCGCCCCCCCCGGCACACCCACCACCATCTGGCCCAGGAAAGTAGCCACACAGCAACTGCAGGCTGCCCAGCTCGGTTCCCCTTCAGCAGAAGCATCAGGGATGTAGCCAGGGCCCAGGCTGCTAGCAGGCCCCCGAGCTCCACTTCCCACCGTCAATGAAGGGACTCAAACGCTCAGCGCCAAGGCAGCCCAGAGCCCCGGGGGGCCGGGGAGGCTCTCGCTCCCCCATGCAGGCACTTTCCTCGCTCACCAAGACAGCCGGAGCTCCCCCCACCACCATCCTAGATCCTCTGCAGGGGTAACAGAGAGACAGCCCCGCCCGGAGGCAGCTGATGCAGCCACCTCCTCTCGTTCTTTCCCCCCAGGACCCGGTTGCTGAGAAGTAAACACACACACACACACACACACACACTCTCTCTCTCTCCCTCTCCCTCTCCCTCCCCCCCCCCAAGGCAAACCCATGAACTCCGCGCCCCCAGCAACGGCACCACCATTTCCTTCCCAGCTTTTCCCCTGGAGAACCCGAGGCAGAATGACGACCTGGTCCCGCAGAACGGTTTCTAGCAGCGTCACTGTCACGCTAATGACAAGCGCCAGGATTCCTCAAGCCCACCCGTCACCCTCCTCAAGCCCTTCATCACGCTGCCACCTGTGCGCAGCATCAGGGCCGAGCTAAGGACTTTCCTGGGAAAGCCTGAGAAGCTGATCCTTGCTCAAGGGGCAGCAGAGGCTGCTGCAGTGTAATACACACAGGGCAGTGTGTTCAGAGGGCTCCCAATTCACCCAAGCAGCTTGAGAGCAGACGGTAGGCAAACCCTGCCTCTGATATGGTAGTTCACACGCACCTCCCTCCATCCCACCCGCACCGCCACCTGCTTTCTCCAGCTTCAGGGGAAAGGTTATTCCAACACCAGGAAGATACAGGAGCGGCTGCTAGGTTCCCTGCGACAGCCCCTGAGAACCAACAGTCGACATGGAAAGGACACTTGCAGATCACACGGCACAGGCAAGGAAGACGCCAAGAAAATGCGACTGGTGCAGATCCGGTCCCAGCGTATCAGGGTCCTCTGATGCGCTGCGCATCTCACCAGGCCGAGAGAGGAACATGCCCAGGTTCAGACCTGGCCCTCCTCATCCACAAACACTTCCGCAGCACTAGAACGAGCTCGCTTCAAAAGGTGCCCCCAGAAAAGCGCCCACTTCAAGCCGGAAGTTAGGGGCTGGGTTACGTGACATGCAGTGGGGCTTTTGACTTAGATTGGCACAAACACACTTTTTTTTTTTAAATCTCAGAGGTGGACAATACAGCTCCGAGTTCAAGAGGCACATGACAGCCCTCACTGCTGCACGCTTTTCCAGCACTAGGCTGCCTTTCGACTCACAGCCGTGACCTCTGCAGCTATGGCACAGAAAAGGGGAACACAAGCAGAATAGCCTATGTGCACCATACACACTGCTGCTGCCCGGGTAGTGACAGCCACTGTGTTCTCTGCTAGGCATTTTCTTGCTCTTTCGTTTTGCAGTGTGAAGGCCAAACCTTTCGGCTGGGTAAAGAGAATGTTGGAGAGATCTCTAGGCATAGCTGCTGTGATAGCCAGCCATACCCAGGAGACAGCCCTCACCAGAGTCCTGCTCCCTCTCGGGTTGCATAGCTGGACAACAAGCGACACGAGGGCAGAGAGTTTAAGTTACACCCTCTGCAGAAGTTGAGCCCGATCCTGGGACGTGCCAAGCGACCCCGTATTCCCAATGACATCCACCGGACTGGAATGTATCTGCCAACATCAAGAATCGGGCCCCTGTGAGATTCAAAGTCTTTGGTCATAGATGGTCTCACCCTTTAAGCACAGACGTGAGACGGGGGGGATTTTAGAGAGAGCAGCTGAAAAGGGATTCTCAAGCAACACAGCCACCAGCTTTAGAGCTCATGCAGCCACAGCGAAAAGCCAGGCAGGCAAGAAATTCCTCGCTGCTTCCTCCCCGGCGGGATCGATGACGCCGTTAGCACAAAAGGCAAGAAAATCCAGGACATACTTCACATTCTTCCCCGCCCCGCGCCAGAGCCCACAGACTAGAAACCCAAACAAGCTGCACACGCCACGTCTGCAGCCTGATTTTCCAGTTTGAGAGAAGGTTTCTTCCCTCACCAGTCTCTATGCAGATGTGGCCTTGCGTTGGGCGGCTGGACAGAGCAAACTCGCAGCTAGGACAGGGGAAGGAAGCCAAGAAAGGAAATGGATTGGAACTGGAGTTGAAGACCAGTGGTAGGTCTTTGGGTCAAAGTCTGGGAAACTGAAATTAAAGGCACACTATAGACTCAAAGAAGTTGTCAGTACAAGCATCAAGACAGCAAACATTTCACCGACGACAACATACTAAGTTAAAGCTGGCTGGGTAAGAAGCCACAGAACAGCCCTAAACTGGCGTGGACTGCGGAGGTAGAAACGTGGTTGCACTCAAGGGCAGGAGGACTGGTTAGTGGGGAGAGATGCGGACGGAAGTCGGGATTCCTGGGTTCTGTTCCCCCGCGTCAGTGACTTGACTGTGCAATTCAGTTCGCCTCTAAAATCGTACCCAGATTCTGCCCACAGGCTTTAATTGGTCTCTGCAAAGTGCTCCCAGGTCCCTGGGAAGGCGTGAGGGGAATAATTACCGGGAAGTGACAAATGAAAGCAGCAGAGACTGGCGGCCCTGCAATCAGGAGGAACAAACTGGCCACGTGCAGGGAGGTCAAGAAACTGCAAAGGCCCTGTCAGCACCCAACACTAGAGCGGTGGCTAGGCGAGAAAAGGGCCAAGCACTGACAAGCGGCTTCTGTAAGAAGCAGGCTGGGGAGAAACGTGCAACGGGATTAGGCCCTAGAGGGCCAAACACTGAATCAGCCACTCGGGCAGGAGAGCGGAGGTTTGGGCAGTGACACGCCGCAGGCGGGAACACAGAACAAGGAGCAGGAGTCAGGGGAGACCCGTATGGACCAGGCCAGCGACTCTGGTCTGAGGCACTGGGCCCAATGTCAGACAGCCTGTTCCCCCGGTGGGAAGAGGCCGCAATGAAGAACCTGCATTGCATCTGCCGACTCCAGCTGCCTGCTCGTGGCTCGCTCCCAGCTCTGGCTCCCGTGACGCTGGGATTCCTATTGGGCCAAGAGGACACAAGGAAAGAGGCTGCACTAACTCCCAAGAGGGCTCGGGGCCAAGCAGCACCAAGTTCCAAGAGGAGGGAGAAGAGAAGCCAGAGGCTGACGCTGGGAGGCATCCGGCTGCTTCGGGCACTGAAGACGCTTCCTGCAGAGAGGGGGATGGTTCTGGGAGGACCATCCCAGGCAGGAGATGCAGATACCAGGCGTGGTGACTTGACACAGGCAGCCGCGTTCCCGGCAGCCGCTGCAGTGCAAGATACTCGGCCGGCTGAGCAGCAGCAAACTCGGGAATTTGTCCTCCTGGAGCCAGGGCTCGCCTGGCTCCGAGCAACCGAGGTGCTTGATATGCAGGCTCTCGGGGGGAGAGCGTAGCAGCAGAAGGCCAAACTCTGCCCTCATTAGGGAGAAAGGACTCAGTGCTCCAATGGGTTTCCAATTCCACAACCCAGCACTGGCTCTGGAAGGCCCAGCCAGCCTTTTTTGCAGCCAGGATTCAGGGAGGTACAAAGTCAATTTTGGGAAAAGAGCAAGGATCATGGCGAGGTGGGCCTGGTATTAAAGAGCCCTTCCAGAGTTTCACCCCCCCCCCCACCC